AGGGTTTATTTTTAAAAAGTACTTTAAAATATTTTTTTTTCTTCAATTTTACTTAATGAAAATAGACAAATAATTTATATTGAAAAAAAACTAAATGATTAGGGTTTAAATTAACAAAATTTAAAACTCCAATTTATTTTGTTCCAGGAGCAAAGCTTGGGGTTTTATTTATAATATTTTTCTTAAGTTTTAATTAGTAACTTTACATCTTAAAGAGTGAAAAATTATTTTTTGACAAAAAAAATTGCAATATTGCAAAATCTAAGATTATTGAGATTTTGATTTGTGATTATATTCTAATTTAAAACAATAAGTAACACTCATAATCAAACAATTAAGATAAATCGACATAACAATTTAACATGAAAAAATCACAATTGGAGCGCCTCCAATTGCGATAAAAAAAATCACGGGCCAAAGTCATAAAACAATCCACTAAGAAGACAAAAATGAATTATACATGTGTACCCTCAATTACTTAGCGAATCCAAACCCAAAATGAACCAACCCCGATGTGTTTATTCCACCACCGTCTTTACCTCGATATTGTCTTGCCCAGTGTTGAATCCACTACGTTGATGTCAAACCTACGACAATGAGTCACTTCGGAATCCATCAAAGCTTCAGACCCTAATTCTCCAGAATCTACCGAAGAACAACTCTCTCTTTTGTGAATAAAAGAAAACAAACAAATCCCTTGACGATATTGATATAGGGTTCGTGGATCTATTAATTACTCTTAAATCATCAAGGAAACACTCATAAAATACCCTCCAATATATAAGAATTTGTTTTTTCTTCTTTGAAAATATGGAGACTCAAACCCTAAAAACAACAAAATGTGCACTTTATAGTAAATTGAATCCCGAAGACTGCTCGAATGCACATTTCATTGATTGAGCGGTGTGACTAAAGGCGGTGCGAAACATATATGCTGACTGGTCGAGCGCAAATCTCACCACTCGAGAGGTAAAACTTGTTTCCCAGAAGTTTAGACGCTCTGCAACAATACTAGATGATCCTTTTATTTGCTGGCAACTAAATCCTCAGACATAATCAGTGAAATGACAAACATGAAAGCCTAAATATCACAAACTCTTCTGCATAAGCATAATTTGGATTGGATTCGCATTTAAATACTCATATCCTCACTGAAACATAAGAGTGAATAAAATTACAACTGAAAAGAATTTTGTCAAATAAAATTGCCAATTATAAAAATCTAACAATATAAAAATTTGTGAATACCTCATTTAAATTTTTGTCTAAGACCTCACACAGGCTTGAGTCACCTCTGATGCCAGAGCTGGGAAGGAGAGTAATGGAGCCAGGTTTAGGGCTCTGGGTGGGCCGTTGGGATGAGTGGGGTATGAATGGTATTATTTGGGGAATTCAAAGACAAAAAACAAATTTTAATTTAGACTTGGAGTACCCTAAGAAATAGAGTGCCCAACCAACATTTTGAGGTGCATTTACACCTAGTTTGGAAACTTAAAGAGAGAAAATAAAAGAAATAATTACGTAAATTTAGAGAGAAAAAAGAAGAAAAAGATTGTAATTTATCTTCCTCTTGAATGGGTAAATAAGAAAGAAAAGAAAAGAAAAGAAAATACAAAGAAAAGAAAATACATTAATTTCTCTCCTATCTAATTTAGTTAAACAACATCAAAGAAAAATAAAATAAATGATAGTGTTTTATTACCAAATTAACCATAGATAGGTGTTAGTTTTTTGGGGGACTTACATATAGGTTATAATAGGTAAATTTATTATTCAATAGGTCTTGTGAGAATTAATGGTATTTTTTTATCAAACACTATTAAAAAAATGTCATTAATTGTTAATTTTTAGCAATAATTTAAAAATTTTGTCACAAAAAATGTTACTAATTATAAATTTTAGCGACAATTTAAAAAATAGTCACAAAAAAATGTCACTAATTTTTAACTTTCAGCGATAGTTTGAAAATTTTGTCACAGAAAAATGTCACTAATTGTAAGTTTTAGTGATAATTTATAAAAATCATGATAAAAAAAAGTCACTAATTGTCAATTTTTATGGACATATGCAAAAAAATAGTTTTAGGAATGATTTTACTAAGACTTATTTTTAATAGGACTTTATTGGAATTAAATCCAATTATTAAGATCTATCAATAGTTTACTGAAAGGGAGATTTATAATATGGCTTTGGGCTGTGGAGGAAGTTGGACTGGGTAGGGCCGAGCACGTTTGGGCCGAGCTAATTTGGGCCTGTTCCAAGTGGGTTTCACTCGGTCGTGGCTCGGGCTCCCTATTTAGGCCGAGCTAACTGGGGCTTCCCTGGAGTTGATCTTGCTCGGTCGAGGCCCAAGCCCGAGGTCCAGGTCCCATGTTTGGACCGAGCTTACTTGGCCGAGATTACCGCCTACCAACCCGGGTTCCATGGGTCGCACGTGTAGCTCGGTGGACCGAGCTTACTTGGCCGAGATGACCGCCTGCCAACCCGGGTTCCATGGGTTGCATGCGTAGCTCGGCGGGAAATGTCTTCCGTGCACCGGCCGACCTGTCTCAAGCTCGGCTCTGCCGGAATGCTACCGAGCTTGGCCGTTATGGGGCTCGGCGAGTGGAGCACTCAGGCACGTTCCACAGCACGATCGTGGAAGGTCGAGGTAATGCCGCTGGGCTGTCGAGTTCTCGCTAAAGTTGTCTGGTGGTTTGGTTAGGTGGTGTTCACTGGATTTGTGCTGACAGATGGGAGAGCAGCTCCACGTGTCGAGAGACTAATGGGTGCAGAGTTGAGCTCAGAAAGTATATAAGCATGACTGCGCCCCCCATGCTGGGGATGGAACATCATTTAGTGAGAGAAACCTAAACACTCAACTCTTTTCCTCTCCCTCTCTATCTCTGAGTGTGTTCTAACGTGACCGTCGAAGGGGTTTTCCGGCAACACACCGCCGGGTAGCTCACCGCCGTTGTGTTCTCAAGTCGATCAGATAGATTCGGAGCTTGGACGAAAGGAGTACGGACAGCAACAATCTTTTCCCCTTATAATTGGCGCCGTCTGTGGGAACAGGGATAGACAAAACCTTGTCTTCCATAGCTCGGTTGGAAGGCTAAGGTTTTTTAGCTCGGTTGACAAGCCAAAGCTATTAGCTCGGCTGGTAACAGGTAATCCCTATCATGCTGCACAGATGGAATTAAGGGGCAATTGAGAGGGTAATTTATATGTAAATTGGGCTGAGTTGGGTAATGGGCCGATCTATGGGCCATAATAAGAGAGGCCGAGTAAAAGGGACTAGAAGTTAGCCTGGTCCAAGAGAGCTCTGCAGTTAGCTCGATCACCACACTCAGAGCGGTAACAGTTAGCTCGGTCATACCATGTTGAGCCGAAGTAAGGTGGGCTTTCCTCAGAACCTTGCTATTGGTTAGCTCGCCAAACTCATTGTGGTTAGTGCGGTCTCAGACAACCTAGTTGGAATATGTCAAACCGAGGTACACGCAGTGAAAGGAAGAACCAAGCTAGTGGCAACTCGGTCTAGTCTGCAGCTTTAGCATGGCTATGTTATCTCGGTCGTATTGACATCCAACCATGGTAGAACCATCTCACTTGGTTTAAGCAGTGAGGGGGGTATTGAAGGATAAGCATTATCTTTCAGGAATGTGATTCCTAGGAGGACTCTGCATGGAGGAATAAGAGTCTTACTAAGATTGTGCCACGCGGAACCTATAAAAGCTCATAACATCACCTATGGAGAGGTAACACAACTTTGATTCTCGAATACGCAGAGCTTTTGTCTATTTGTCTATTTTACTGACTTAGGCATCGGAGATATATCCGGCACACATCCGCTGGCTAGTTCACGTTTGTGTTTTCAGGGAGTAATGCGACGACGTTTGGAGGAGCGCGGACTTGATCAACAAGATTATACGAGAAGATTATTTCTTGCTCGTACAATTGGGAACATAGGTTTTTAATTAAAAAGTTAAAAAATCATTACAAGTAATTAAATTATTTTTTTGACTTTCTCTACATTTTTTTGTAAGGAAAAAATGAAAAAGAAAAAAAAGAAGAAGTTAAAATAGTCAATTTTCAAATGAGCTCTAATAAGAGCATCCGCATCAGTTGATACAAAATAACAAAAAGTTAAAATATAGCAAGCAAATCATAAAATTCTTTTTCCATCAGTCTCAATAATTTTTTTTTAAATTACTTTTTTATTAAATTTGCTACAGTACCTCAACAACTTTGTTGAGCCACTATTCATTAGCTACATGCTTTTTTATTATATTTTATGGCGCAAAACTGGGCCAAAATCTTTAGACTGGTCGTCCACCCGGATGTCCTCTCGGATATCCTACTGGATGTCTCGTGAGTGCCTGTAGCAGAAGAAGAAAAAAGCCTAAAATTAGCTTAACCGGTCAGCCGAATGACGAATTTTTTTTTTTTTTTTAAGAATTGTTTGGGTGGCATCTCATCAATTTAATAAAAAGAAATAAAGAATAACAAATACAATAAGAAATTAATATTTTAATAAGATTGAGTTAGAATAGAAAGTTTGATGCAGTGAGTACTAAAAATGTGACAAGCTAAAATAACAAAAGTGAATTTTGGATTATAATTTGATTCAAAATTTGTTGAGACTGATGTGGATACTCTAAGTGCCTTTTTCAAAACTTGACTTTTTTTTAATAATTTTTAATTTTTTTGACTGTAATATGAGGTGAAAAAAGTGAGTTTGGAATAATGTTTTTAATTGAATAGATAGTTATAAGAAAAAAATAATTAATTAATATGTATTATGTGACAGTTTGCTAATATGGTGAAATTTGTTGAATTTTTTTTTTTATAAAACTTTTTATTTGTCTGCTTCACTTAAAAAAAAAATATGTAAATAAATAAATAAATAAAACTCTTGCCAAACCGTGCCTAAATTAAAAATTAAAATACTAGCAAGAGCCGACCCAGAGGAATAAAATATGTAGTAAATTGGGAGGTATGAGAACCAGAGAAACCCTATCCCTATTTAAAACCCCATATATCCAATCCAATTCCCCCAATTTCTATACAATGCATGACAATAACCGTTTTAACTGTCACTCCACTTGGAACCCCCTTCCTCTCTTCCCTCTCGCGCCATTCTTAGCTCTTCACCATGGCCTTTCATTTCTCTTCTTCTTCTCCTTCTTCGCATCAATCCCACAATTTTCTTTTCCTTCTTCACCCCTCTATTGCATCCCCATTGTCACTTCTCAACGGGTCACTGAAATCAGCAGCTTGGACTTCCCCAAAGAGGAAATCTTTCGGTCTCACCTGTCGATCCAGCATCAATGACGACGAGGTTTGCTTTTAAACGTGATTGAAGCTCTCTCATGTTGTGTTATTTTCAATGCGTGCCCTTTTTGTGGTGTGAATTTTTTAGTGTTATTATTGGTATGATCAATATTAGGATTATTTGCTGGATGCTCCTGTTTCAATTGGGGATGGATTTTCTTTCAGTGGAGGTTAGACAGACTTGTGAATTGTCCATTTCTAAAGAAAGCCAAGGGGAAATGATATTTAGTTGTGATTTCAGTATGATTGAAGTTATATTTGGTTTTGGACAGGGAAGTACTCGGACGGGCCGAATCCAGCAGATGAATGGGTCAGCAGAGGAAAGATTGTAAGTCTTGGTTGCCTCTTTCTACTCCCACTTTGAATTTTTAGGACAAAACTTTTGCTCTTAACTAGCTTGGATTTCCTCTTTAAAAAAATCATCTTTAAATTGTTTATATGTAGGTCATTGTTGTGTGAACAAAAAAGAAAAAGAGGGCTAATTTCAAAACTTGATGACATTACATTTTTCTTTTCATATAATATATATTGTAATCGTAATTCCTAGACTGCAATGAGTGCATTCTGCTTGGTTTTGCCTTATTTTGGTACACTATTTGCTAAGCCCCATATGACAAGTTATGAAAACATACTCGGGTCAAAGTTTTAATTTCTTCCCTCACCAATCTAGCCTCTTTCAATTTTGAATGGTGTGTATCCCAAGAGAAATGCATTGAAATTTTAACAACCTTGGGTTCTAGATACTCCTAGGATACATGCATATTCATGCCAATGACATGTGGTCCGTGACCTGAGTAATTTACTTCTTTAATTTGAACAGTTTTTCACAGTATAAAATCCACAAAAGATAACTGGAAACAAATGTGAAAATGGTTTCTATTTCTCCTGATAAAAATTAGAGGCGCTAATGCATCATCTAAAATGGAGTTGCGAACTTGCGACACACATGAAAAGAAAAAATGTGAAGTTATTTGATACATTTTTTGTGAACTAGCAAAGGCAAAAGCCCTATATGATATATTATGAAAACATACTTGGTTCAAAGTTTTAATTTATTCTTTCACCAAACTAGTCTCCTTCAATTTGAATGGTGTGTATACGAAGAGAAATGCATTGAAATTTTAATGACTTTGGGTGCTAGATACTAGCAGAATGTGTTCTTCTTACCATAGGTGAGAATAAGATTGGAACATTATTATTCTTTGAAATTCTTAAGATTGATCCAATGCATTCAACAATATCAATCTTTTTCAACTACTAGCTGAAAGCAAACTATGCCCTTTCACTATGTCCACTGATCCTTTGCCACTGACTCCTTGGCTCCTTGCTACTATGCTCTCTGTGCGGTTGGGCTCATGCTATGGCTCAGCCTATCTTGAGGGAGTGCCTTTGGATTCCCTATGTTTGAGGACCCATCTAGGCCCCCTGTCTAGCTTTCCAGCGGGTAGGGGCTCCTATGGTCATGCCTGGGGAGGGTTGCCACTTGTCGCCTCTCTTACCCTTTTTTGCTAAGCAAAAAAAAAAAATCCTAAAAGCAAATTGAACCTTTAATATTTGTATGTCATCTAGTCTCTCTCTTAGTCCCCACAAAAAAGGAATGAATAGAAAAACAGAAAATGGTTTTATTTTGATGGAGATATATGTACATTTATTTTAGGTGCAAATTCTATTATGTGTGTAGTAGATATTCTCCTTGGTGGAAGCAAGCCTCTTTACTAAGTGTCACGAGATCATATATCATTATCTAAGAATTCTTTGGTGGTTATAATCTTTTCAGGTGAAAGCTCATCCTGTTTTTGGCGCTGGCAAGAAGGCAAAAGATCCAATTTTTGGCCTTGCAATGGGTGGTGGTTCTCAGACCTCAGATGATAATTTCAGGTAAATTTGGGAGTATTTAGAACATCACTGGTTTGTAATGGAGGACTTGAACATGCTTAAATCCTGTCATGGGCTTAGGTCCCCATATTATGCAGAAATTGAGGATGGCATATTTGCAGGGTTCACCGATTGAAAAATGCTCTATATATTTTCCAATAGATGGTTTTGCATTGAAAGTGGAAGCGTTGATAATCCTCCTATTGTTTTAATTCATGGCTTCCCTTCACAGGTGAGCCTTATGTTCTTTTTTGATCTGCTCAAATATGCAAGAAATTTCTTCATCTTTGTGCTGCTTTTGAATTCTGAGATAATTTCATTAGCATTTGCAAATATATCTGAACTATATTTATTTTTGTCTAACACTTTGTCTGATTACATAGTGACATATGGCATAACACACCAACTGGCAGTGTTGTCACGGTGTACATAATGATTTGAACAAACTCACTTGAGCTGAAGTTGAAATAATGTGGATCCTGATTTACATAGTCATTGTCAATATTTAAAGCCATAAAAATTTATGTTTTTTTCTGTGGAATTATGATGTCATAGCTTGAATAGTTGTTGTATTGATTAATCCTCAATGTTTTATGTATCATGTTGAGTAGTTAATGTGCATGCATCTTATTTATGTGCTCTTGTATCGAATATACTGTTAAATGTGTTTGGTGGATGTTATGTTTACAGATGGCACTTGTCTGATTCTTCCGGGTCTAGTTTTAATTTTTGGTGGAGTCTTCCATTGATTAATGATATTATATATCCTCGAAGGATAATGTATTTGTTCAGTTTGACTATTTTTTTACTGTCAGGAGACCTGTCCAAAGAAGTTTTACAGTTTGGAATTTTGAACTTGTACCTTTTTGAGAGTGAACATTTTAAATTTTGAACTTCTCATGATTGCTACAGTGTTATAATGATTTCTAATTTTCTTGCTCTCAACCTATGTGAAAGACGCCAGTGCACCTGAAAGATAAAGTATGTGCTAGATGATCGCAATAACTTATTGTTAAATACTGATTTAGGAACCAAATGCAGTGATTTTGTTAGGAAAGGTTTTCTTTTTTCTGTTCTTTTTAAAAAAGAAAACCAAGAAAAAAAGGTGGAAAATAAAGCAACAAGATGCAGTGAATTAGAAAATACATTTATCTTTGCCCATAATCTACTGGCAGCTGCTGACACTTCTTATTTTGGACAAAGAAGATTCTATGTCCTCACAATGACACCAAGCCCTCCCTTCTTATTGCACCCATACATTTGGGTGCAAAAGGAGAAGAACTTTCATGTATGAACAATTGAATTGTTACTTAGCTTTGTTGCTGTTTATATCTGTGAATAAAAAATGAGTAATGTATTCTTCAGATGTAAAATTAAATACATGTGACCCCATAGCTTTTCTGAAAATCCAATCAAAGGTTAGGGAGATTTGGCATGCACAATATGTTTCAGTCAATAGATTATGTTAAAATCCACCTACTCTCCACCTACTTCACCCACTTAAACCTACTCCACTAAACCTAACCCACTAAATCCACATACTCTCCACCTACTTCACCCACTTAAACCTACTCCACTAAACCTAACCCACTAAATCCACATACTCTCCACCTACTTCACCCACTTAAACCTACTCCACTAAACCTAACCCACTAAATCCACATACTCTCCACCTACTTCACCCACTTAAACCTACTCCACTAAACCTAACCCACTACACCACTACCTTCTGAATCAGTTTCTAGAGCATTCATGTTAATCTTTTGTGAAGAAAAAAAAACCCAATGTAAATAGCTAAATTTCTGCAGTTGCTTCACTTCTGCTCTCCAGGTAAGATCCAACATAATTGTTCTTGCGATCTTCAATTGTTCTCTGTCAATTTTCTTCGAGTTTTGACAATTTTCCTTCAAATTGAATTCTGACAGATCGAAATCACACTTTGCTACTCCTTGGCATCAGCGGTATTCTTAAAGATATACTATCAGGACTACAGGAAAAAGAGGATGTGGTGGCGTTTTTATAGCGACGTTTATTTAAACGTCACTGTTATGAGTATTTAACGGCGTTTTATAAAGCGCCGCCTATTCTATTTCACAAAACGACACCGTTTTATAATGGGAGGCGTTTAGAAACGCCTCCGAATGCGGTAGCCACACGCGCCTCTTTTTTTTTTTCCTTTTTTTTTTTTTGAAACATATTTGAATCTGAATACATACGGACAGATCTCTCCCCCCTCTCTCTCTCTCTCTCTCTCAACCCTTAATACATACGGACAGATCTCTGTCTCTCTCTCTCAACCCTCTCTAAGCTCTATCGAAGATTCAGATCGATTCAGATCGAAGCTCCATCGAACTTTCAAATCTATGCTTCATCGAAGATTCAGATTGAAGCTCCATCGCCTGCGATTTCGAAGCTCCATTGAAGCGATTTCGAAGATTCAGATCTGAACTCTGACCCGTCGATTACTCGCATTTCAACCTCCATTGAATAGTCTACTTTGTTTCTGAACTGTAATCGGTACTCGCTCTCTCTCTCTGTCTCGCTCTATTTCTGGTTTTTGGGAAAAATGAAGACTGTCTAGCTCTCTGTTGCTGAACTGTAAGAGACAATGCTTGCTTTCCTTTGTATTCGGGATTAACATTTAAGATTGTCTAGCTCTCTGATTAATATTTTTCACTTACTCAAACAGAGCATAAGTATTCAATTTGATTTAATTTTTGAAGATTTTTTGAAATTTAAGTTACATTCCCTATTTCATATTGATTTAGTTTTCCTATTTTATATGTTTTTGTTTTATAAACTAGGGTTAATTTAATATAAATAATGATATGAATAATTTTTTTTTTTACTTTTTTTTTCAATCTATGAGATACCAAAAATTCATTGGAGAGCCAAGCTTCAGAATGTGCCTTGCTAATCCATCCTTAATCCAAGACTTTGAGGTTCACAAGTGTAGGTACAAAATTCAAAACCTACTAAGAGAGTAGTCAATACATTTATTAGCAAGGCCATTTTATGATCAAACTTGGAATATAACAGTTGATATTGACTGATATATGACTATATCATTGATACTGATATATATTTTGATACTGTTAGTTATTTGAAACCTTGAACCTAACGGCCTATCTTACGGGTTGCCTATTTGGGCTCCAAGCCCAAGAGGCGACTCCAAAATAGGAGTGTTATGCACCATCTTCTAAGTGTGAATCTCTTACAGAATGTTTGGAGTTAGTTGATTGAATTTAAGGTTTGGGATGAAATTCTTGCTTATCTATTTGTGTCTGGACATCTATATAATAAA